ATTTGACTTTACAAAACGTTAACTACAATGAAGACTTAAAGGAATATAATAGGACAATCATGTATGCTGTTGTTCAGTGCCATCAAGTCAACTCCAAGTTATAGTAACTCTAAACAGAGTTTCTGAGGAGCAGCTGGTGGGTTTGAACAGCCAGCTTTTTGGTTCACAGTTCAGTGCTTATCCTACAGTGCCACACCAGGAGTCCGTATCATATATGTACAGATATTTATTTCAACAATTTTATAAACAAGAAGAAACCCACCAGTAAAAATAATGACTATAAATAACAATCACTGATAAATGCACATTTTAATTGCACATTAAAGTCATATAGGTAAGATTGTAAAATACAAATAGCTATAGTAAGCATCAAAACTGAACTCACAATTATTTGTTTAAAAAACCACAGTTACCATCGAGTTAATTCTGACTCACAGCAACCCCATATACGTCAGAGTAGAATTGTGTTTCACAGGGTTATCCAGGTTGTTTTTTTGGAAGTAGATTACCAGGCCTTTTATATGAGATACCTCCAAGTTGAACTTGAACCTCCAATTTTTTAGCTATCAGCCCAACATGTTAACTGTACCACCTAGGGATTCCAACCAAATACTGAAAAAACTAATGACAGCCAGTAGAGGTAATTTCTGGATTCTTTATACAATTACATTTCTATGCTGTTGCTGTTGTTCAGTGCTGTCAAGTTGGTTCCTACTCATAGAAACCATGTATAAGGTTCCCAAGGAGCAGCTGATGAATTTGAACAACCGACCTGTGGTTTAAACCTACCTTGCAGTCCAGTGCTTTATCCCACAGTGCCACACCAGGACTCCATAGGGCTTTCAAAATTGTTATCAATACTTGCTGTTAGGTTAACTATTTGCCAGGAGTAACTCTGATCTATGAGTTCAGGAAGGAATGTGACTGTAGGTAAATAAATGCCAGGTGTGATGGAAGAGCTAGAGAAAAAGAGGATCTAGTTTGCAGTGCAAACACTCAGGAACATAAAAACAACTCCTTTTTCC